TTTTGAATTCTTTTTTTCAGCTGGTCAGCTGAGGGGCCTCCTCAGCTGGTAAGCTTTTTTTGTTCTTAAAATTATTTTAAAAAATCACCATTATGTTATGAACAGATGTGTATATGCTTGCTATATTTTGAGAATCATCATTAATTTCAATTTCCTTCATTTTTTGAATTGTATTAGCCTCAACTAAAATTTATTATTTAGGAAAAGGCTTTTCACTAGTTCAAAAATAGCAAATTCTAGAAATTTTCATGATTTTAAAAATACTTTTAAATCATGGTTGGGGATTCTAGGTATCCGGAACCGAAAAAACCTCGGATATCCGGTAATCTTTGAATATCGTTTCCGGTTCTGGATATCCGAAAATTTCCCAGGAACCGCCATCCGTAGTTGGCATTGTAAACATATCTTTTTTAAAAGCGAAAATTTAAAAAATTTAATCGAAAGATTATCTGGGAAATAGATCTTACTATTATTTTTAACTTAATAAAGATAACCTTGGTTGATTTTTGGATTTAAATTTTTATCAAATAAATATCCATATTGTAAATTTAGAGTATAATTAATGCCAAAAACATTTTTTATTGCTGCAAGATGGAAAAGATAGAGAGCACCAATGTCAACCGTATCAAAAAATGCCAAATCGTACTTTCGGTTTATCAGACGATTAATGAATTGATGTTTATTTAATAGTATATCTTAATAAGAAATTTTAATTAAATCATTTATTTTCAGTCGGGAAAACTGAAATTTCTATGTATACGTTATCCGAGTTTCTAATTCCGGCTGGTTAACTAGTCTTTATTTTAAACTGCATGCTTCGGGATTTTCTAATTAATTCTACTGGATATGTTCAATAAAAGTCTATGAACGGACGGGATATTTAGCTGTATTTTACGAATTCTGGAGGATTTTGGGACTGTTTCAAAATTCTTAGTTTTCACCGAAAAGTTTTCACCAAAAAACGAGATTACTATAATTTCTAAATTAATCCCAAGTAATGCCGTATTATAATTTCTATAACCAATTTTGAAAACTATAAAGACGAAAAAATGAGACAATTGCTAAATGATTTTGATAAATGCCTATATTATCCCAAAACAATTTTTTATTTTACCTCTAAACGCTTTGTAAGATTGATTGTGATAAATTCTACCTTCCTCATTCTCTATTTTTATATTATCGCCCTTATCTAGATTAACAATTTCATATGTATTTCTAGATTCCTTTCTAAATGAAAATCCAAATTTTGTCCTATCAACTCCAATATTGAAATAATCCCACATTTCACTTTTATCAGTTCTAACGATTACAAAATGCTGAATAAATTAGTTATTGTGTTAGAAATTATAACATCCCCGTACCCCGTACCCCGCCCCGACAAACCCTGATCCCCTATACACCCGCCCCCAAGGGTTGGGTTGCTACCCTAGTTAGAATAACCTTCTATCTAATCACCCACCACATAATAATTTTTCGCCAACAGATCGGCACATCTACTAGCCATTTCAAAATGATAGGGAATAAAATTTGGGGCAATAAACAGAACATGCTTCTTTTCATTTTCAACTATTTTATTGCCTTTACTCGACGAGGGTTCTCCTAACATCCCATTTAATGTTGGTAGAAATATAGCAATAAAAATAATAATCAAATTAATTTTAAAAGAATGAAGAAACATTTTTGTTTCTAAAAAATTATTTTTAGATAACACGTAAGGGCATAACACGTAAGGCAAAATTGTGGGGCCAAAAAATTGTTCTTGTCGGACCAAAATTTAATAAATACCTATATATTTTAATTAATATGTATCTGTTTTGGAGCAATATGAAATGATTAGATTTCCACAGGGTGAAGCTAAATCCGTAACTTTTCTGTAAACGAAACTTCCTAACAGACAATATGATAAGATTAGAATAAAGCGGCTAGACACCGAATAATACCTAATGAATTGATAGGATTGATCCTGAGAAAAGCTAAACCAGAATTTTAACCCCTGAATTATACAATATTAAAGGAAAAAAGTTTTTTCACCTCACAATAAATGGAATTTGCTAAAAAAATTTAAAAAATAATTTAAAATTGAAAATATAATATTTTATAATTAAAAAATTATAAAGAAAGCCGCCCTTTTTTATCGGCATTAAAAAATAAAAATAAATTTCTCAATAAATATTGACAATTATTTTCATAATTAAAAGGTCAATATTGGGAAAAAATTTATTAAAGTGCAACAAGCATAAATATGCACTTTTCTCAGACAAAATTTATTTTTGAATTTTGAAATTAATTATAGTTATGAAAAGGCAAAATAAACATTAGCCTTTTGAAAAAGCTGTCTGGATGTCACCAGAATCAGCTTGATTCGACGATAATTATGATATAATTCGACGATAATAATAATAATAATAATAATTACGATAATTATACCTCGAGCCAAGAATAACCAAGTAACACTAATGGAGTCGGTTAGCCTTGTGAAAAACCCTTGCGCGAATTTTTTAGGTACAAGGATCGCTGTGCTTTTAGGCTTTTAGGCACACGGCTTGCAAGGCTACTCGTAACTTCGCCTCGGCCGAATACGTAGCAACTGAGACACGCCACACGTAGCCATTACATCAAGTCAGATTGTATTGCTTTCGGTGTTGTTCGACTTAGCTCTACGACCTTTTCTAATAACCCCTAAGTATAGCCTTTATTTTATGATGGAATTCCAAAACTAATTGTATGAAAGATGGAAATGAAATGCTTAAATTGTTGTTATAATTAGTTTGTAATATATACAGGCTACTCATAATATTGTTGACAAAGCTGATGTTTTCGCCATAAAATTGATTGCTGTAACGAAATGGATGAAATTGGATATACATAAAATATTAGTTAACTCAAGGCCAAAAGATTTATTAGCTGGACAATTTAGCCTATCTTTTGTATTTCATGAAAAAAATATTTTTGGAAATTTTGTTTTAATTTTTAGTTTTATTCTTTACAATTTTATCTAAATTTTATTATTGTTCATTGCTTACTAACATAAGCTAAAATTCAAAAATTTACTTCCTTAATCGAATCATTTTATTGGACGTTTTCTTAAGAAAATTGATTTAAAAAATAATAACGAGAATTATTGTAAGAAAATTTTATTTTCTTACAATATTTACATTTATTTTAAAATATTTCATTGTCTAACAAATTTTTAGAAAAATCATTTTTATATTTAGAATCGAGATAGAAAGTAATAAGAAATTTTATTTGTAATAAGTCTGTTGGGTTATCAAATGATTTATTGAATCGAAGAAAATAAAAACATTTTACTCATATTAAGAGTTTGAATTCCGCTAGTCAATTACAACATCAGTGAAGACTAAAAAGTTTTAGTAAATTTTTTAATAAATTTAAAGGAAATATGTTCCAAAAACTCCCTTTAATCTACACGAATCCCTGAAATAATATTATCCATTGATTTTAATATATCCATTGAATAATATATCCATTGAATAATATTATCCATTGACATGGATTTTGGCACATCATGGATTTTCTGCGGATTAAGAGGGATATAGACGGATTAACGAAAATAACTGGGGTTTGGATGATGATCTAACACATTACTGTCAACAAATGCCCAAATCCCAGCACTGATAATGAGTAAAAGTATTGTTTTTGGTAAAATTATTTTAGAATACTGTTTTATAAAAATTACTCGACTACTCGACTACTCGAACTCGAACTTGGCCTAAAAAGTTGAGCTCGAGCTCGAACTCGGGTTTTTCAAACTCGGATTACTCGAGCTCGGTTTTTTCCCAATTACTCGGTACTCGACTTACTCTACTCAAAAAGGAGGCGAAATCTGTCAAAAATCTGCAAAAAAGGGGGTCATTATCTATTTTTAAAACTTGTAAATAATTAAAATTTCGCTAATAACAAGTAATCCTCTTTTTTGCTCCTCCTAATAACTTGCCCTTTCCCTCATCAAAAAAAGATTTAATCACTTATAGACATCCAACGCTAAATTTCTTAATTGCTGTCGGCTTCTTTGAGTAATCCACGTGAATTTATTTGTAAGCACTTTAAAGATTAAAAGACTTGTTGCCGCCTATTTCTAAACATATTTCATAAAAGGGCATTTGTTATTACATAGAAGGGCATTGTAAATATGCCCATAAAAGGGCATATTTATTTTTTAATTCTCTATTTATTTTTAATTAATAAATTAATTAACAGACAATAAATTATTCCCTCACTCAATAGAATAGGATTAAATTGTAAGATTTCTTAATATTTCTATAACATTAAGCCCAAACGTGGTGCTCCGGGAAAGAAGAGACCTAAAATTCCGCCCTCTCCGAATAATAAAAAAAATTTTAAGAAAAAAAATGAAAATAAAGGAAGCTTTATTTTCAATAATTTTGATAATTTTATTGTTCAACGAAAGCCGAGAAGCAAGTCATGACGAAACATTAGCAGGTATTGTAGCAGGGCTGGGCGATTTCGCATTTTCGCGTTTCGCATCTTTCGCATTTTTCACATTTTTTGGCGCGAAAAGTTTCGCATTCCGCATTTCGCTTTTTGGCCCAAATGCGAAATTTGTTTCGTCTTTTTAATTTAGTATTTCTTTATTTTTTAGATATTTTTACATTAAATTTTTTAAAGGAAGAGGGAAAGAAATATAGATATTTATCCTAACAGTCATTTAGTTAGGCGATGGCGGAGTGGTTAGGTTGACTGACTTTGTTTACTTTGGTGTTTTTGTGCGAAATAAGGCCTACAATTTTCCTTTCCAAAATTTAACGTTTTTAAACTTTGATTTTAAATCTGTAAACATGTTTTTTTAATATTTTAAATTTGAAAAACATTAAAAATTTTAATTAGTAATAAAGTAATCAATTTTTAGTAATGAATGCTGCGCAGAAATTAAAAGAAATCTGACTTACGGACCTCCAAAATTCTGAAAATTTTTGCCTGCGGCGCAGGAAAGATTTGAGATTAAGAGAGATATCAGGAGATTAAGATGTGAAAAGTTCGATGGAAAAGATGAAAAGTTCCATGAAAGAAGGTGAAAATGTATGAAAAAAATACTGGGTTTCGGTAAAGATTGAAAAAGATTGAAAAGGACGAAAGATTGAAAAGAATGAGGTGGAGGAAGTGAAGGTAACGGGAGTTGAGGCAAAGAAGGAGGAGATGAATGAGGAGAAGGAGGAGAAGGAAGTGAAGGCAGAAGGAAAGTATGAGAAAGAAGCTGAGGTAAAGAACAAGTATGAAGAAAAGATGGAAGAGTTAGTTAAAGAAGAGAAGAAAGAAAGTAAGGAGGAGAAGGAAGAAAAGATGGAAGAAAAGAAGGAAAAGGAGGAAGTTAAAGTAAAAGAAGAGAAAAAGGAAGAGGAGAAGGAAAAGGAAAAAGAAGAGAGTATGGAGGAGGAGGAGGAAAGAAAGACAGATATGAAAGGAGAGAGAAAAGAAAACCAGGGTAATTCGAAAGATCTTAAAATAATTGAAGAACCTGAGGAAGAAATAAAGAAGATGATGAAGGAAGAAATACAAATATCATCAAAAGAAATTAAAAACGAAGAAAATCTTGGAGACATGTTAAAAGTCGGAAAACCAACAAAAAATGTCTAAAATTGAAAAAATTCATAAAAAAGTTCAAGCAGCTGAGAGTCAAAAAACATGGATTTTGAAAGAATTTATCTCTTCAGAAGGGGAAGATAAACTAAAAAACTTATATAAAACATCCATAAAAAACCCTCAAAATTTCAACGAAAAAAAGCTTTTGGATGTAATTGTTTATTTAAATATGTTGGCGAAACGTTTTGATTTTTTAAAATATTTGAGAAAATTCCCCAAAGTTTTTGAAATTTTATTTCCAAAAGAAAACGGGGAAAATGGTGAAAATGGAAATACAGGGTGGGGCAAAAGTTCGGCGACAAATTTTATTTTGTCCTTTCTTAAAATCTATTTTATATTTTGCTTTGTTTTTAGATTTCCCATATTCTATGATTCACGCTCTACACATTTTATCTTGAAAATTTTTTCCTATCTCATAAAGTAAAAATTTTACAGAATGTTAAAGAATCGTGCTTCTATTATTTCTTTGTTTTTTAAAAATGTTCGAAAATGTGACATCGCTAAACGGCTCGATTCTGTCGTATGTTAGTTTCCAAAGCAATAAAGCGATATTACGAGCTTGGAAATACTAAGGACCATCCTAGTAGTGGCCGGCCGGTAACCGCAGTTACGCCTGAAAGCATAAACGTGGTCTGATGCCGAATTCGCCGTTTTTCCGAACAATCGATGTGAAAAACGGCCTCAGATCTCGGAATGAGCTCGAAAAGCCTCCTAAGAATTGTCAGATTGAAGCTTAGACTTCGGAGCTAAAAGATCAGCCGCGCATATTTCCTTATCTATCGAATGAAGCATCAGAAGCTTCAGAAATGTCGAAGGACTAAACGCCTGGTCGCAGCTGGTCGCCATAACAGAGTGATGAAATGTAAAAATTAATGCTAGTCTAAAAATGGCATTCTGAGGGGGGTTTTTGCATTCTTGGGCGTTATAGCATTACGGAGAAAACCAATTCTCGCTTCATCAAGATTGCGCACCCGCGCATGGAGCCAAAACGACAATCCAGCTCTGTGGGGAGCTGTTTCCTGGTTTTTGGGGGAAGGATTTAAGGCCTTCAAACTCACTGGATTTAAGTCAGTGGATTATTCTATTTGGGCATTTCTGGAGCAAAAAGTATGCCGAATCCGATACGCAACATCGGAGGAACTAATGTTGTTTTGGAGCGAGCCTGGAACGAAATAACCGATGAACAATGCGCGACCATTGTGAGTATCATCCGTAAGTGTTTGGATGCGTGTATTTCAATCAGGGTCGGTCATTCTGGGAAATTACTTTAATAAAATGATTATTATATCCTATTGATTATATTTTATCATTTTTAAATCTTAAATAAAATTTTTTTACAATAGATTTTATTAAAAACATTTGTCGCCGAACTTTTGCCCCACCCTGTACAGGGTGCGGCAAATTGGCGGCCGCTTTTCTTTTTGCTATAACTTTTTAAATTATTAATGAAAATACTTAATTCTTTTTTTAATGGATTCCCAGCACTCTGAGAATTTTTTTGATATGAAAATTGTTTTTAAATTTCATAGTTTATTCAGTTTAATCTTTCCTCAAAGTTCGAGCAAAAATTTTCGGATAAAAGTCGGTCTGGATTCAAGGTTATGATTTTAATATCGGAAATGTTTATATCGTTCGAATCAGCTTTTCAATCTGATTCGAACCACATCAAAATTTTTGGGCTATGATAAAAATCAAATGAGCTACGGTCCTTTGAATGATAAATTAAAATAATTATGGTAAAAATAAAATTTTTTAGTGAAATTTTCAAAAATCAAATTAGTATAAGCTTTTTCGATGCGCCTGAAAAAGACGAGTCGATTGGTACTAAAATCATCGAGATTGGATGATTTTTGACGAAGTTATAATCAATTAAAATTTGACATGAAAAAATGTTTTTTGATGATTCTGAATGTTTGGACCGGCTTATCTTTACCATCAGTGAACCAAATTTCATTTTTTGGTACCAAAAAAATTCTCAGAGTGCTGGGAATCCATTAAAAAAAGAATTAAGTATTTTCATTAAAAATTAAAAAAGTTATAGCAAAAAGAAAAGCGGCCGCCAATTTGCCGCACCCTGTAAATTAATAGCAAAATTGGAAAGAACTTGGGAATTTAAATTAAATAAAGAATTTAAGAAAAAAGTTGGGATAAAAGAACTTAATAAAATTGAACCAGTTTTGTATTGTATTATGCTAGATTTGATAAAAAGAATGAATGGAATAGTTGATTTTAAATGTAAAATTAAAAATGTGAAAAATGATGAGTTATTAAAGGTAGGAATTGATAAAATAGAATTTTTTGGGAGATATGGGAAATATTTTTGACAAGAAATATCGAAATTTTTGACTTTAAACCCGCTCGTGTTACCCTATTCAAAACAGAAGGAAAACTGCCGTATTGAGAATATAAATTAAATTCTGATACTGTAGCGAGGTAGAAGCTCTCCCAGAAAATGCCAGAGATTGTATGCGACATACCCTACGACCTCTCCAATGCATTATTGTTAACCTCTCAACCATCCCATCACCTAGAGATCGTTTTCATTTTGATTTTTTACTAGCTGGGAGGAAACTTGACAGGTCTTACAAAAATTTTTATTCACAGATGAGACGCCAGCTTCATCTTGAAGCATTTTCTACTACACTTTTGGAAGAAAATAAGCATTATGAAGAAAACCAATATAAAATTGTTCGAATAATTTTCGAATTAAATAAAGAAAATACAATTAATTGGATAAATAAAATATCAAAACGGTTAGGGGAACTGAAGAAAATAAGAGAGCAATTGAATTTAGACAACCCTGGACTAAAAGAAAATTTTTATTTGAATCCAGAAGGCTTCCAACCAATTGAAATATTTGAAAGTAAACTCGATCACGATTCCTTAGATTTTTTGGAAATAAAAAAGGACGAGGAAATTATTAAAAAAGCAATGGAAACATTAATTAAAATTATAAATAAATGGAAGTCTAAAAATGGGGTTAAAGACAAATTTAAAATTACAGGAAATTACGAGTTTGGTATTTGGTTAATTGAAGATGTTGAAATTAATGTTGTATTTGATGTCGATTTAGTTGAAAAATATTTTGGTTCAGAAAAGTCTATTTGTGAACCTCTTATTTCGCAAAATTGTAAAGACAATTCGCTCTATTGTTTTTTATGTAAAGAACATTTTGAGGATTTAGAGGTTTTTAATATTTTTAGTTTATAATAGGATAGCTCCCCGAGCCTTTGGGGCTGATGTATCGGGGTTGGGGTTTGCTGGGGTAGAGCCTTCGGGTTTAGGGTCGGGGTTTTTGGCAAAAAACAGTCAGGGTTTTGGGTGTCGGGCTGGGGTTTTATACCCGGACGAGCGTGTGCGTCGGATGATCGAGGTTTGTCACAAAACTCGATCCAGCACCTTCCAGTTGAACGACATTCTAAATTAGTGTAGTCTGAGCTTTCATTCAATTAAATGATTTACGTCATTTAAAAATAAAAATTTTCCAAGGTCACCTTCGATCATCTACAAAAACACACAAATAAAATTCAAAAAATGATTGAATTAAATATTGAAGGAATTAAATTCACAATAGAAACAAAGGAGGCATTATACAGAAACGAAACAAATAATTTTATAAAAGAATTGCCGGATATAAAAAATAATATTAAATTCACCACGGCTTTGGTTATTTTAAATTGTTGGGCAAAAAGTATGAAAAAATTATTTTTTTGATTACAAAAATTTTTTTCGTTCAGATAACTTTGGAAATCAAGAAGGTTTTAGATTTTTAGACGAATATTCAATTTCTATAATGCTTGCAAAAATAAATATTTTATATCCAAATTGTTATGTCTGTCCGAGACTAACAATAATTAACTCTCAAATTTGTTTGAGGAAATAACTTTATTTATATTTTATTTTTAACTCTCAATTAATGAGGAAATCAATCAATCTAATTTAATTTAATATTTATTTAATTTTAAGTTTTAGTTCAATTTAATATGAAAAATAGCATAACATAGGTTGGTATTTATACGGGTAAAAACGGGCGGGAATTGAGTGTGTTTTAAGTTGAGACGGGTTAGTAAAGGAATGGCAAATGTGAAGGAAGTATTTGAATATAAGTTTATTATGAGACAAAGAGAGGTAAATGTTGTGGGGGAAATATTTGAATATGATAAAGGAAAGGTTTTAAGAAAGGAGATTATTTACAATCATAAAGAAGGGAAATGTTTGAATTATATGCTGGGGAAATAAGTTTAAAGTAAAAAGGTCAAAAGCATTTAAAATAATATTGATACAAAATATTTAAATAAATGCTTCAAGCATATATATCATTCCTCCCTCCTTTTAGAAAATTTTCAACGATGTCGAGATGGTCCATTATCAAATAATGCGAGAGTATTATGCATGATTTAGGCTCCAGCAATCTCGTGTGTTAGCACGGTCATAGCTTAATTTTTGATTTGGCATAATCGGTATAAACGATTATATCCTCCGCATATGCGGGCATGTCATTGTATTTCACTATCTCTTTTTCTCTCGCTATTGCTGCGGCTCTACCTTATAGGCTATTTTTATTTATTATTTCAAACATGCTCATTCTCACATTATTTGTGGTAAGTCCAATTTCTGTATTTTTTATAGCAAGGCTGGGACTACTATATGACTTAATTTACTATCTCCTATTAAAGAATATTTGTCTTCTCGCTTATTTGAATTAGTTTCTTTCTCTCCATACCCATTGGAGGATTTTTTTGGTTTTGAATTAGAAGATTTAGTCTTTTGGAGGTTTCCTTGTTGTTTCCAAAATATATTTCTTCATTGTTTTGGCCAAAGTTGAAAATTTTAGAAACAAATTTATTTAAATTGAGAAACAAACAAACAGAATGAAGTATAAAAATTAAAATGGAAAAAATTAAATAATTAAGGATGATTTAAAAAGATTTAAGAAAGAATACAAACATGAAATATTAAAAAATAATTTAATTAAAAGATTCAATCCTCGATCATTTTAGTGCGGGAATTTGGTTTGCAGATTTGAATTGCTCCGCAACTGATCGGCTTAAATTTATAAATTTTTAATTTTCTCAACTCTTTTAGAGATGGCAATTTTACTGTGAGAGGTACAGTACATTGGTTGGATTTGTTTCCGACTTTCACTTCTCTCTCCTTTAATTTTTTAAAATTTATACTATTTATATTTTTATATCTCACACTTTTTGGATGCTCGTGTGGCAACTTATTTTTAAATTTATTTAAACGATTTACTTTCAAATTCTGCCTAGGAATTGTTTCATTATTTGACTCTATAACGGCGATGTAATATGGGCTTGATGCTCTGACATCAGGACTATTTCTTCTCTCATATCTCACACGATCTGATGGGCTGTGTGGTGAAACATAATCTCTAGTATTTCTTTCCCTACTAGGCGATCGACTGTCTGGATATTCGTTATATCCATAACTACTTTGATAATCTCTAGTATTTCTTTCCCTACTAGGCGATCGGCTGTCTGGATATTGGCTATATCCGAAACTATTTTGATAATCTCTTTCCCTACTAGGCGATCGACTTTCTGGATATTTTCTATATCCGAAACTATTTTGATAATCTCTTTCCCTTCTAGGAGATCTACTATCTGGATATCCTTTATATCCGCTCCTATTTTGGTAACTATTTTGGTAATTTCTATTATGACTTGGGCCATAACGGTCTGGATAATTTTGATATCCGTGATAATTTTGATTGTCTCCATAATTGGGCCTACTATATTCATTTCTATTCCTATTTTCATATCTATTACCTTTAAAATTTCCTCGGAAACTGTTAAAATTATTCCGGAATCTTTCATCCTCATTTCTATAATAATTTTCCTCTAGCTTTTCCGGACAATCTCTTATTAAATGGTTTGGACTTTTACAATGGAAGCAGGTTTGAGTCCTATTATTTCTCTGCAAAACCATTTTCTCAACTTTATTAGCCAAATTAGAAACACAAACACTACTATATTCAGGCTTTTTCTCCGCCAAAATAAGCTCAAAATGCATCGCTAATTCGTAAGCGCTTCCATAATCAGGCGGGCGTTGAGATTTAACCTGAAATTTTAATTCAGGACTGAGTTTATCCAAAAACTCGTATAAAAGGCTATTATTAATCGTGTTCTCTGTTTCTCCTACTAGGGCCGTTCTAACCAATTCAGATAGCCGGTTTGCATATTCAAAAACGGACTCGCCCTGGTATTGGCGGCAACTGCTCAATTTTTGGCGTGCTATAACCTTAGTGTTTCCATTTTCAAATTTCGCTCTTAAATTATTTATAGCAATCTCCAAACTAGTGGGTGCTGGTTGCATTGTATCAAGTACCGTTCTCGCCTGACCTGCTAAACAAAATCGAAGGCGGGTTAATTTCTGTTCTTCCGTTATCGGAGTAGATATGAGCGATAAAACGTCCTTAAATTTCTCAATCCATTTAGAAAAGGACATACTCGGATTTCCATCATACGAGCCAATATATTGTCCATTATTCAAAAATGGATCCATAATTTTAATCTCTAGATCCACCTCCGAATTATCATCCGGGTCACTCTCATTTCCTTCCAAATTCTGCTCAATAGCCTCCTCAAAATCAACTAGACTAGTATTTTCAGCTTGCTTTTCTCCAAGCTTCTTAAATTCATTCTGTACATTATTTCTTAGTTTAGTGATTGAGACTTTAATTCCGGTCAATGAATTTTTATTTTTCTCGGAATTGGTCTCTAAATTCTCCAATCTACCTTCTATGCGTCTAAGAGATTGGGCAACTGATTTTTCAAAAGCTCGCAATCTGATTAAAATTGCGGAAAATTGTTTAGACTCCTGAGGAGTGAAAAAAGTTTCGTCAAAGTCTGACATTTCTCGAAAAATTTTCGGATTAAATAAAATATTTTTTTCAAATTTCCGTGGTCTACAACACTAACCACTTTTTTTAATAACTGGCCTACAACACTGACCAGAAGCCCTACAACGCTGAGCTATATTTTTTAAATTAATTCGCTGGCCTACAACACTGACCAGAAGCCCGACAACACTGAGCTATCAAAAATAAATTTAATTTAAGTCTTCCGTGAACGGAGAAGCGCTTAGGTTCAATCCTGTCTGAACTGCGCCAAAAATGTTATGTCTGTCCGAGACTAACAATAATTAACTCTCAAATTTGTTTGAGGAAATAACTTTATTTATATTTTATTTTTAACTCTCAATTAATGAGGAAATCAATCAATCTAATTTAATTTAATATTTATTTAATTTTAAGTTTTAGTTCAATTTAATATGAAAAATAGCATAACATAGGTTGGTATTTATACGGGTAAAAACGGGCGGGAATTGAGTGTGTTTTAAGTTGAGACGGGTTAGTAAAGGAATGGCAAATGTGAAGGAAGTATTTGAATATAAGTTTATTATGAGACAAAGAGAGGTAAATGTTGTGGGGGAAATATTTGAATATGATAAAGGAAAGGTTTTAAGAAAGGAGATTATTTACAATCATAAAGAAGGGAAATGTTTGAATTATATGCTGGGGAAATAAGTTTAAAGTAAAAAGGTCAAAAGCATTTAAAATAATATTGATACAAAATATTTAAATAAATGCTTCAAGCATATATATCACAAATGTTCTTTAATTGAATTAATTGAACGTTTCTTTTTGACATATCTGACTTGGTTAGAAAATATTTTTTATACTAATCCGGTTTTAAAATAAAAAATTCAGCTTAGATCTTATTAAAATCATAAAATACAGAATACATCAAAAATGTCTTAAAAATAATGCGGATTCAAATCTTAAAACTGTTGTCCAAAAATCTGGAAATGACCAAATACTGTTAAATTCTGGTAATGTTAGGTTAATATTAGAGTTGTACATACAACTAACGTTTGGAGACGAGGGGTTTCAATCGGGTATTGAATGAGAAGGTGAATTTCGAGGTGGAGAATTTCACTTGTAAGCTCGTGGACAAGCCTGAACATCGTTAAGGAACGGGATCGTTATTGAACTCTAATTAAAATAAATATACATATAGTAATTCTCGATAGCCCTAGTTAAAGAATACAAATCTTGAAATAATTAATTTTAAGGAATAAATTAACTCCTGTTCGAATAAGAGAAAGTAAAACGGAAAAAATAAACGAAATTGATGGTTCATCAATTATTGTCCTCTCACCAGAACAAAATTTAACAAAACAAATAAATAAAACGGCATCTCAAATAATCGAGAAAGCAATGCTTGAGGGTTTTTAAAAATTATTAAAAATTAATTTATAATTATTTGACAGGTTTAAAAGAAGTCAGAAAAGCGAGAAATTTTTCTTCTGGAGCAATAAATGATTTTTGGAATAAATTTTTGGAGCCAAAGAAATTTTAAGAAAATAATTTTTAGATTTAAACAAAGTAAAACTTCAATTTTTGTTAGTTCGGCTGTATTATAGTTTTCGCAGCGATACCTTGGTGCCTCGGGATTTACAAACAAAGATAAAGGTAGTACACTAAAGAGGCCATCAACTGTCGCTTCTCGAACTAAATCCCCTCTTAAGTCGAGTTCAAATAATAGACCATTTAACAATAGCTCACTCGCCGCACTGAGACGAATGACACTAAAATTAGTTCAGAAAAACTCTAATATTATATGGACAGTGTTTTGTCCTGACACCTTTATGAATAGACAATAACAGAATTTTATTTTATTTAACACATTCATATTTTTATTTAACACATTTATTTTTATCTTTAATTATGTTAGCTTTTATTCTTCACATATTCACCATCTTTTAACTTTAATCTCTCATTCAAAAAATATCACCACCATCAGCAAAGGACAAATGTAAATACAGCATCATACCCATGCCCTACTGCCAAATTTTCAAGACGCGCAAACGCACGTTTTGATAGATTAACTTTGTTTGCAGGGCAACTTAGGCATTTGTCTTTAACGTGGACTATGATACTAAAAATAAAATTTACAGAAAGAGTTGATTTATTTAAATTTTTACGTTCTGCCTTTGTACTGAACTTTAAGACAGATATTACGGCAGAGTAGATAATCAATTGGATCTGCATGAGGGCCCCATAGTTTATAGCTAATAGAAGCCAACAATTCGGTTTCTGCGTTAATCCACATGTTACAAGCACCATAAACCTTGTAATCATAATAAGTGAAGTCTCCTATAAACGGCTTGTCCAACTCCCATCCATGGCTAAAGCTTGAGGAAATAATTACTAGTAAACATATGTAGCGATGGAACATTTTTAGAAGTTAATTTTTTGTTGATTGGAAATTTTATTAAGCAAATAATTACTGATGAACACTTGGTTGAATTTGCTAAACTTTTTTAGATTATTGTTATTATGCGTGGAATAAACATTTCCTCATTCTATCAATGTTATTTGACGAGAAAATGTTACTTTTTTGAAAATTTTCTTTAAATTTATAGTTTTATTCTTACAATTTTATCTAAATGTTTATTATTCTTCATGGTTTACTAAGCTAAAATTCAAAAATTAACTTCCTCATTTATTAATCGTTTTCTTTAATAAATTGATTTAAAAAATAATATCAAGAATTATTTTAATAAAATTTTATTTTCTTAAAATATTTACATTAATTTTTAGATATTTTTATTTTTTCCAATTATGAATATGTATTGTAGCTTACCAACTTTTTAGAAAAATGTTTCAACACAAAGGTTATTGCAGACATTTATCAATGGATTATTAGGGATAGCAGCAAATACTTAAGTGTTAGCATCAAGCACCATTTGGTTATTTGACGAGAAAAACAAGCACCAACTCCTTGACCTACGCGATAAGTGATTTTATCTGAAAATGTTTGGTTTAACTCCCATCCATGACTAATGCTTGATGAAATGATGATTACAAAAAGGAATAAATATTTTGTTTGAAGGAACATTTTTAAAGTTATTTTCTGGTAATGGAAATTTTATTAAGCAAATATAAATGATGAAAAGTTTTGAGAAATATGATGTTTCTTAACTTATTTTTGTCACAAACGTTAAATATACATTTCTCCATTTTATTAATTTTATTTTATGAGGAAATAATTTTTTTTGTAAATTTTTATTTTAACTTTTTTGTTTTGATTTTATTTTCATTTTATTATTCGACGTCATTATTTTAGTTAATCTAACATAAGCTTAATTTAAAAATAAATTCCTCGATTAAATCTTTAATTAGATTTTTTTAAATAAATTAATATAAAAATAATATTAAAAATTATTTTAGTAAAAAAATTTAATATTGAAATTTAAATCACAGGTATTTCCTAAAATGGTCGGTCGACCGTACAATTTTTCAATTCTTCTCTAATCTAACTATTGAACACAAAATTTGAAGAATCTAATAAAATAATGCAAATGAATCCACTAGAAAATTTATTTAAAATATTTTAAATATTTAAATAAATATTTAGTAATTCAATCGAAAAATCACTATCATATCCTTCAAAATCAACCTCTTAAAAATTTAATTCTTCAAGTGCAGTTTCGTTACGGCGTAGAAAAAAACAGAAAAGAGATTCTTTGGCTCAAGCAAAAAACCGGATAACCCTACCCTCTTTTTAGAATACAACCTCGGCACTTTGAAAAAAATAAAAAATTAGATAATTTTATAATTTCTTAATATACTTTATATGTATTAAACTCGAAAAGCAAAAGTGCATTTTCTAACATAGCTTATTGTGCGTCCCAAAAATAATTATGCGTCCTATGAATATTTATCCCTCCCAAAAAATAATATATTCTTAGGACGCATAGAGGAGACGCGCATAGATCTTTATGGATCTTTATGGGATTATTAAAAAATATTATTCTCTTAAATACATTAAAGAAATTTTAAAATATTCCGCATTACTTTATATTTTGCACTTTTGTAATTGTCTGTCAAGAATATAATTTAATACGACTCTTTATAAAGCTAAAACAATGACAGACTCCTTATCTAAATCTCTGATGGCTAAATTTTTTATTTTATATTTATTTATTCTATTATATTTATTAGCCAAAGCATCGGAAAATTAATTGATGCTCAATTAAAAATCAAAAATGATTGGGAAGAAAAAAGAGAATTTATTTATTTAAAAAATGTTGAGCTAAAGCAGAGATTTGTTGTGAAAAAGATTGAAAAACAAAACAATCAATTTAATAGTAGTTATAATTATAATATTGAGGGATTTTTACAGTTGGTTAAATTAAATTCTGAAAGAAATAATATTTATACTGTTAAAATAAATGATAGATTTTACAGTCCAACGTACATATTGAGACAGAAATATATGATCGAAATTGCTAATAATGAAATTATTCAGAAAATTCTTCCTGAATTTGAAAAAAAGGTATTTTACATATATGTACATAAGTATTTTGATTAGTATTGTAAGAAAGAGAAAGATCCAGCTGCCAGCATTTGAAACGCTCACTAGGCGGGGGGTTAAGGTCTGTTAAAAGAGAAAATGAAAATTCGTAGAGCACCTGTACATGTTGAGCGAAAGCGCCTAGCAATAACTGCCAGGAGGTCGCAGAATAAAGTGCCCGGGATTAAACTTTTACCTCGCTCTTGCTATATACATTGTGGCCCTAATGTTATGTGGCACGTTATTTATGCCATAACTTTATTCAAGTAAAAGATAATGAAATCAAATAAAAATGAATGTACCCCATAACATTTGGGTCACTCCCATCTTTCCATCACAAAAAGCAACAAATCTAAGCATTAAAAAGCAACCGAATTAATAGTCCCTACACTAATATGTTTTTAAGGTACTTCGAATTAATAATATTACCGAAAATATTAATTATTATTATGAAACCTCTATATTAGCTGAGAGTTTATTAAATTTTAATGAGTTGAAATCACTTGAAGGAAAAAAGGATTTATTTAAAGAATATATAGAAAATTATAAAGACAATCTTTACTCAAGTTATTGGAAGGAAATTAATTTAATTGGATATAAAATTGAATTGTTAGAAAAACGGAAAGAATATCCGAAAGAATTGAAAAACAGAATTATTTACATTGGCCAGAAAATAAGTAAATAAAATTATACTTCTAGCCCTGGGGTGTTTGCCCCCTAGCCCTGGGGAGCATGTTGCATTTCTACTATGTATTTATTTATTATTTTAGGTGGAATTAATGAAAGTAAAAATCGACATTGTTTCAACTGTGGAGTTAATCAAAGTAAATGGTGGAAAATCTACCTAAAAGAAATTTATTTGTGCAAAGGGTGTTTCCAATATAAACAAAGAGCTAACAGAAGGTTTGGACGGAACATTAAAAAGGTTTACCTTTATAATTGGACTATTAAATATAAAAAGTGCCTGAAAATCATATTTAGAAAACATGTTTAAAATTTCATTTAAAAAGGATCGTCTTTGTGCTCTTTGCAAAGCTTCAGAAACATGTTCTTGGTACCGTCATTCAGAACCTGGTCAATACATATGTAATAAATGTTACAACAAGCAGTTATACTATATAAAAAAGAGTACAAATAAAAATGGAATCGAATAAAGAAAAATTATTTAAAAAGAAAATGAGAACGCGGAATTTTGGATCACCATGTATAAGAAAAATAAATTCATATTTTATTAATTTTTAAATTAAAGTCGCAAAATTTAACCGTATTTCCTCTAAATTAGACCCAATGGGTTATTTTTAAGATTGACATCTAGAAGGGGGCTATTTTAGAGGGTGGGGCTATTTTAGAGGAAATACGGTATTTAGTTTTTCATACAGCTCATTTTAAGATGTTTTTAAATTAATTTAAACTGTAATTTGTAAGCATTAGTTGCAGGACAACTTTTGATTTTACTCGGGTAGCTGTTAGTCTAGAATTTTTAATTTCTGAATTGAATACGACCTGTTAATTAGTGCTCAAATATTTCCAACTTTCGATCAAAGCTTTTGATTTTTTTCTATTTTATTAGTGGAAAGCTAATAATAGAATCTTTTATTTAGTTAAACATTTATATATTTTTTTATCTTTCATTAACTAATTCATATTCTTTCCTTACATTTCTGATTTCTTTACTCCTCCTTTCAGTTATCATCTCCATCAGCATTGGACATAAGTAAGAACAGCATTATAAGCATGCCCTACAGCCAGATTTTCAAGCTGTGCAAACGCAACTTGAGACAAATCGGCGTGTGTTGAATCACAACTTGGGCATTTGTCTTTGATGGGGACTGTGATACTAAAAATAAAATTATTTCCGTATAAGAGCTGATAATTCTAAATGTCTACCTTTTGCCGTTATAATCGACTTTAAGGCAGATATTACGGCAAATTGGATCATTATTTGGATTTCCATTAGGGATCCATTCTGTATGGCTAATAGCAACCAGCATTTCAGCTTCTGCATTAACCCACTGGCCACAAGCACCGTATCCCTTATCATTATAATATGTGAATGAGCCTGTAAATGGTTGGTTTAACTGCCATCCATGGCTAAAGCTTGAGGAAATAATAATTACAAGAGGAATAAAGAAGTAGTAAATGTTCTGATTAAGCATTTTTAATAGATCTGTCTTTTGATATTTAGAAAATTTATTAAAGAAATAAATGGAAAGTTGCTTTATATAGATCCAAAAGGAGAGCTTAAGTTTTCTTATATTATTGTTGTCAAGATATGTGGAATTTTAATTTTTTCAGTGTATTTTACGAGAAAATAACTTGTATTGTCAATTTTATTCAAATTTTTAAAATTTCATTTACATATTATTTGTATAGTTTACTAAGTTAATTTGAAAATTACTAAGCTAAAAAATTTTTCTGAAATTTTAGCTCTTCATTTTCTATTTGTTTAATATGGCTATTTTTAAATAATTGATGGTTTCGGATTCCAAAACTTTTCTAGATTACTCAAATCATAGTTATAGATTAACTTATTTATGCATAAATGTTTAAAAATAAAAATATATACAAACGGAGAAATACAGATAAGGGGATAAATTAAAAGGTCTGGCAAATTTGCTATGTTATATTAATGACTATTTGGAAGGAGTATTTATAGAGGGCATTAATAGGTCAAGAGAAAAGTAAAAAGTAAATAAATAATAATTGATAAGGACTGGGAATTGTGATAATTGTGACATTTTCTAAGGCAAATATATTTGCAAGTAATTGTCCAAGAAGTCTTGCTTATTGACTCAAGCCTGTGAGTCTAAAACGTTGATGTCAATTTATGCTTTAATATTTATTAACTGATGTGAACTTCATTCATTCATCTACTTTTACTAGAATGCATAGCCTTGCTTTTAGCCTTAATTTATTCTTTCTGTTTTTGACTGAGGAAAACAATTATGGAGTCAGTGTACAACAACACAAGAAATGATTATGTGTATGCTTCGACAATATAATTTAAGCCCAAAAACGTTAAAAATTTTTTTATATTTTGTGATAGGTTCTTTCAAGATAGATATTACATTTTTAATCACGGATAGAAAAAATAAAATTTTTTAAAGCTACCAATTCTATTTGTAATAAGTAGAGACCGGATATTTATGCATTAAAAAATGCAAAATATGCACTATAATATGCATAAAAAATTGACAAAATATGCACAAAAATATGCAAATAAACCAAAATATTCACGAAATTATGCAGCAAAAATACAATTTTTACCTAGAATTTTTATTTTTTTTTGAATCAAAAACATTAAAACACCTATTTTTATTAAGATTACTCTCATTTTAGATGTACAATTCGACAAATTGAGTATTTTTAATCTATTGGACATTTTGAGATGAGGCGTTTTGGTGGTGGGGCATTTTGGGATGGGACGTTTTGGGCGTGAGACATTATGGGTACGGGACATTTTTGGGTCTCGCCCAAAACCAAAAAAATTTTTTCACAAAATTTGTAATTTTTACAAATTTTTTCCTAAATTTTTACTAAATTTTCAATTTTTGGCAGAATTTTCGGCAATTTTCGAGTTATTTTCCCCAAAAAAACCTCAAAATATGCAGTAAAATATGCATTATGCAGCAAAGTCCGGAATATGCAAAAATATGCATTATATGCAAATAGAAACCCCCTCTAAAGTTTTCAAAACATGCGGAAACAGTGTTTTTTGTGCATTATACATCATGCCAAGTTTGCAAAAAAAATATGCATTTGCATAAAAATCCGGTCTCTATTTAGTAATAAGTTAACTCATTCATATAAAATCATTTTGGAAATAGAAGGACTAGTGTTTAGAGTTCCGTATTGTAATACCGAAAAATATAGAAAAATAACCAAAATTATGTAAAATACCAATACCGATAAAATTAAAATTCTATCGGATGGTATTCCGTAACTACCGATACGATTTAAAAAATACTGACACGGTTCAGTTCGATAGATTAAGCTAAATTGGCTCGGCTCAAATTGGCTCGGTTACTTCATTTTACCAAGGAGTGAGTTAAGCCAAAATGATCCTTAAAAGCTTAATCCACCCTTAAATTTTTAAATTAAATCAATTTACTGTCCTTTAAATTAAAAGAAAATTGCCCGAATTTATTAACGAGGAATTTTAAACAGACGAGACTAGGCCATTATTGGCAAATAGAAGTGAATAGTATTCCTATTTTTCTCTTAAAAGTTTAAATAAAAAATTGTAAATGATTAGGCTGTACTTTAGCCGGTGGCCGGTTCGAAACCGATTCGAAATATATACCATTCGATTCGTCTCGGCGAGCTGAGTCGAATGGTACCACTCCCAGGGTGCGGAAACGCCTGTGGACCGAGATATAGGTTCCCGAAAATCGAAAAACCAAAGGGGGGAGTAAGCACATTTTTGGGGTGAAAAATTCGAATATGCAAATAATAGCTCATTCGAAAGAGCTACTCGAGCTGAGTCGAATGACACCAAAATTAATGAAATCCGACTTGATTGTACAAAGTTATGATCTTTTATTTTAGCTCCTTACCTATGGCATCTATGGAGATTTTTGCTGCTACGGAGGCCCCAAATACGTCCAGAGCAAGGGAGATAGGAATAGGTTTATGTTACGAGCCCAGACCCAGCGCCCGTAGACTCCCCGCGAGGCGCGTGCCGCAAAACCCCGCGCGAAGCGCGGGGTTTTGCACAAGCGCCTCGCCGACGCTCCATAGGTTTAGGTTTTTTGTTTTTTGTCATAACTTTGTCTATTCTTATTCAATCACGGTGATTTTGGTGTCATTCAACTCAGCTCGATGAGCTTTTTCGAATGAAGTATTATTTGTATAAAAAATTTTTTTATTCCAAAAATCGCCCCTTTGGATCTTCGGTTTTTAGGGGTCTATATCTCGGTCCAATCAAGTCGGATTTCATTGATTTTGGTGTCATTCGACTCAGCTCGAGGAGCTCTTTCGAATGAGCTATTATTTGCATATCGAATTTTTCACCCCAAAAATGTGCTTACTCCCCCCTTTGGTTTTTCGATTTTCGGGGACCTATATCTCGGTCCACAGGCGTTTCCGCACCCTGGGAGTGGTACCATTCGACTCAGCTCGCCGAGACGAATCGAATGGTATATATTTCGAATCGGTTTCGAACCGGCCACCGGCTAAAGTATATCCAATGATTAGTTTCAAGGGCAGCTTTACATAGGAAGTTGAGTGGTAACAGTAAGACGTTTGTTATTATAAGATAGTAGGTTAAAGCACAACCAACTGTGACACCATCCAACCCAATGATGGGCTAATTATTCTTTTATAAGATAGTCTATAACATGTTTAAAAATATAAAAGCATGTTTAAAAGTATCGAAAATATGTTTAAAAGTATATTGGAATTGAGGTACTTCAATGTTTAAAAAAATTATAAGCCTTTCTAATGTTTATTTAGGTGGTCTTGAATTTTCCTGGCTTATCGAGACAAAAAAATTAATTGTCGAGAAGTGATCTTTCCCTGGTTTAAATTTCGCCATTGCTTCATTGTGTAGCTTGTGATTAAATTTTATTTGGCGTCTTCCCTGGGTAGTATTTTATGTTGGGAAATTGACATTCATTTTAGTTTTACTTACTTACTTGCCTTCATTTTTAATTTAAATTAAAATATTTTTAAAATATAAAGTATTGGGCTAACATTATAGACAAGACTCAAACTAAGTTTTATCATCAAAACTTTGATTAAATTTTATCTTGAATAAGTTGATTGACCTTTATAGCTTCGTTTAACCCTTATAAGCTGATTAAATCTTCGTTTAACCTTCTGGAAAGAAACACAATTTTTTAAATATCGGACGATTTAAGCTTTGATTTTTCTTGAAAGCTTTGATAGTTCTGTGCTTTTGAACCTTTCGAGATATTTTTTCGAGAATATTTACACAATATATAATTTTAGAATAATTCTCTCTTTAAATATTTTTAAATTCCAGAATGTCTTTTAACGATTTAACTCAACAATCCATAATTTATCAACAATTGTTGTTAGAGCAAGCCGGCAATAAAGAGAAAAATTCTCGTCGAATTAATACAAACCAGGGTTGCCGCGGGTACAAAAAATCTTCGGGTACGGGTTTCGGGTATCGGGTTGGAGCGTTTTCATTTCGGGTCACGGGTTTCGGGTTGGCAAAAATATCGGGTACGGGTTTCGGGTCATAAAATTTTCATTTCGGGTATCGGGTTTCGGGTTGGCAAAAATTTCGGGTACGGGTTTCGGGTTTGGCGAAAAATTCGGGTTATTTTCGGGTGTCAGGTATTTGTGATCTAAATTGTAAGGCGACAAGCTATGTTGCATAATAGGATTTTGTGTGATATAGAGAGAGGCAAAGAGATTAAAGAGAGATTGGGATTTTGGGATTAAGAACGATATCTTGGTATTGAGAGGGATATCAAAGAATAAATTTAGGAGAGCCTTCAAATCCACCTTGATATATGCATATCCTCTGATATAATTCTTGCAATGATATATCATGGATTAAAGGAGATATAGAGGGATTCAAGCACTTGTTGGATAGGATTATGAAAGATTGTAAAGAAAGACCTCCAAGCTTTCTATATCACTTGATATATATTCAAATCCCTTCAATTGCAAAGCAATGATATCAGATGATTAAGGCAAATATAATGATTTAGAGGATACTAATATCCCTCCGCTTTATTTCCATTAATACTCCAATTTTCGCCGCAGGCGAAAATTTTGGGAATTTTGGAAGACCAAAAAGCCAAATTTCTTCCAATTTTTGCGCCGCAGGCAAAATTTTGAGAATTTTAAAGGCCAATAGGCAATATTTCTTCTTATTTCAGCGCCGCAGGCGAAAATTTTGAAAATTTCGGAAGGCCTTAGGCAAAAAAATTCAATTTTTAGTGGCCAAAGGAAAATTTTTTAAGAATTTTAGAGGGTAAAAATAGAAAAATTTTTAAAACAAAATTAAATCATAAAATAAAGTTATTTATGGAAAGAAAAATTCGAAAATTCCTCATATTCTGACAAGACATCGAACCCACATAACGACTGGGGTGAGGCCTAACACATTAACCATTCGACCACCCACTAATATAAAATAGATGGGAAAAAAATAAACATATTTCTTTCTAATTTTCTA